ATAGTAATTCTCACCCTTATTGCTGTAGGGTTGGCACTAGAAGCTTTCTTGGGCCCATGGTCATTATTTTCCAGAAAAAAATCACCAAAAACACTGTAATAATACAAAATGTTCCGATTGTATGCTTGGATGTTACCGCGGAGGCTGGTTGGTAAACAATGCCATCCGCGGAACATGTGAGCGTGGCTCAGGCCGCACATTGGACGCGTCTCGGACGAAGGCCGCTGAGCGGGTTTTTGTCCACTATGCGGGCAAAATTTTAGCGATCAAAGCGTCCGCTATGCGGATTGTCCGCTATGCAAGGCGTCCGTTATGCGGGGGTCCACTGTATATTATATATATATAAAATATATATATATATATATATATATATTATATATATATATATATATATATATAGAGAGAGAGAGAGAGAGAGAGAGAGAGAGAGAGAGAGAGAGAGAGAGAGAGAGAAGAGAGAGAGAGAGAGAGAGAGAGAGAGAGAGAGAGAGTAGAGAGAGAGAGAGAGAGAGAGAGAGAGAGAGAGTAGAGAGAGAGAGAGAGAGAGAGAGAGAGAGAGAGAGAGAGAGAGAGAGAGAGAGAGAGAGAGAGAGAGAGAGAGAGAGAGAGAGAGAGAGAGAGAGAGAGAGAGAGAGAGAGAGAGAGGAGAGAGAGAGAGAGAGGAGAGAGAGAGAGAGAGAGAGAGAGAGAGAGAGAGGAGAGAGAGAGGAGAGAGAAGAGAGAGAGAGAGAGAGAGAGAGAGAGAGAGGAGAGAGAGAGAGAGAGAGAGAGAGAGAGAGAGAGAGAGAGAGAGAGAGAGAGAGAGAGAGGAGAGAGAGAGAGAGAGAAGAGAGAGAGAGAGAGAGAGAGAGAGAGAGGAGGGGGGGGGGGAGCCAGTCTATCAGCATCCTGTTGGCCAACATTAGAGGTTTCATTACTAATGTTGGAGAGCTCACACACAGTTTTGTGAACACTCGACGTCCCGACATGATAGCTGTTGTTGAAACATTTTGGATGACAGGACTCCAGAAAATTTTGCAAGAATTGCTGGCTACACCTCATGGATGAGAAGAGACAGGCAAGGGCAAGGAGGAGGTGTTGCTGTGTGCTTCTCTAAAAATGTTCATGCCCAGCACATTGATGTTGCCACCCCTACACATCTTGAAATGATGTTCTTCAAGCTCTGCATAAACACTAGTACCTCTGTACTAGCATGTGCATTGTACAGACCTCAGTGGCAACATGCTGACCCCATCCATCTTCCTATTGGAAAATATTGACTCCCTTCTGCTACAACACAAACTGTCAACATATCTTAATTGTTGGTGCTCAACCAACACTTATTACAGAGGGAATTTGATTGACCTTCTGCAGTATTTTGACATGTAGAAACTTTGTGATTTCCCTTCTCACATCTTGGCTCCTCCTTGAACAGTAGTGAGTGATCTGGCAGAAGGCTTTAGTTACTTGTCAACACTCGGCTACGTTGGATCGTCTGACACAAGGCTGTTTTACGACACTTAAGATCCCAACAGAAAAGAGGTGAGGAGTCCACAGCACAACGGGGGGCTTTTTTTATGCTGAAAGAGGTAATTGGCCAGCCCCTTTCTCTGAGCTTGCACACGCATTGGAATGCTCTTATCCAAGGGGGAATGTTGTCAAACCAATGCGAAAGCCCCTTCCCTGGAACATCCTTAATCTCAACCAAGAACATTCCCTCACCGGCACTATGTGACAAAGCCTACAGATCAGCCTTGGTTTGGCTTTCGTTATAGAGAGGCTGCTACTGCTAAGTACAAAGCATGGCAAAGGTATAAGAGACATCCTACCACCTATAACAGGAACTTGCACAGGCAAGCCTGTAGGCATATGGGTGATGTTCAAAAGTGGGCCATTGCTAAATGGGAGGTGGACACTAAAAGAAAGTTAGCATCAGGTAGGGTAGGCTCCAAAACCTGGTGGTCCCTGGTCAAGGACCTGATGAACTCATTCCACCTCTAAATCGACAGGATGGGACCACCTCTACTAGCAGTCAAGAGAAGGCGGACCTCTTTGCTGAACACTTTGCTACCAAAATGCAAGTTCCTGATCCAGCAAGGGACCCTCCTTGGCTAGCTGCAACAACTGTGTCAAAACTGTCAGTGGTGACAATAAGGCAGGAGGAGGTGTATTTCCTTCTTAAATCGCTTGACCAAGAAAAGGCTGTGGGCCCAGACAAGTTGAGCCCAAGATTGCTGAGAAGATGTGCAGACCAGCTAGCAGCACCTCTAACTCGCATCTTTCAGCACTGCCTAGTACAGTGTAAATGGCCCTCTCTATGGAAAGAGGCAAATGTAGTCCCTGTTCACAAAAAGAAGAGAAGAGCAGAAATCAGCAACTACAGACCAGTGTCACTCCTGTCAATCACTGGTAAGATCCTTGAGACAATAATCTCAAGACAAATGACAGAGTTTTTTGACTACCATTCACTACTTTGTGATCGTCAATATGGCTTCAGGAAAGGTTACTCTGCTGCTGATCTGTTGTTAAACCTCCCCACTAAGTGGCACCAGTCACTGGATGAATCCAAAGTCAGCTGTGTGGCAGCACTGGACATTGCTGGCGCTTTCGACCGGGTGTGGCACCAGGGTCTCTTAGCAAAACTTCAAGCACTGGGAATTGCAGGCTCTACGTTATGTCTCCTCAGTGATTACCTTCATGGTAGATCTCTAAGGGTAGTTCTCAATGGAACGGAATCAGCAAGACATCCTACTGGGGCAAATGTTCCACAAGGAAGCGTACTGGGACCATTGTTATGGAATGTCTACTTCAACGACCTTCTTCATCTCATCCCAGAATCACATGCATATGCAAACGACTGTATACTGACATTCACTTATCCAAGAGAAGAAATGCCAGCTGCTCTAAGTTACATCAATCACCAGCTGAGAGCTATATCAGCTTGGGGAAATAGATGGCAAGTAACATTTGCACCTGAGAAAACGCAAATGATGATTGTCTCTAGGCACCATGATGGTAATGCTGGTGCAGTAGTAAGGATGAATGGGAGGGTGTTGGCACCTGGAGAAGAAGTTGATATCCTTGGGGTGAAATTTGACTCCAAACTAACCATGAAGAACCATGTTGTAAATCTTGCAAACAAGGCAGCCAGGAAGCTTACAGCACTTCGCCGTATCTCGCATCTGCTTGACAGTAGGGGTTGCAAGATTCTGTACGAGGCACAAGTGCACTCACACCTTGAGTATGCTCCACTTTCTTGGTTTGCCTGCCCACCCCCCCTCTCATCTGTGACTGCTTGACAGAGTAGAGAACAGAGCAAGACGTCTCATCTCTCGCCTGGACCCATCCTGGATAGATCTGGCATTTCAGCAGAGCCTTCAACACAGGAGGGACGTGGGTGGCCTTACTGTTATGTACAAGGCCAATATTGTCAAAGTACCACACTTGGATCCACTTCGAGGACAGCATGAAACAAGCTTTTATGCCACAAGATGGGCAGAAAGCAGCAACTTCACTCTGGCTGTACCCTTCTCCAGAACATCACTCCATCTGAGATCATATATACCCAGGATGACTCGAGTATGGAACACATTCGTACAGCATAATGATGTCAACGAGATAAAGTCAGTTGATCAATTAAAAATGCTGGCCCACAGATGGCTCCAACTTCATCCTGTTCCCTACTTGTATGTCTCATAACAATAAAAATGCTTTCAAATGAACTGATGTAGGTAACAGCTCTTAGCTTGCCAATAAAGTTAGGAATCCTTAACCTGTAAATAGCTTGTCAATAAAGCTAGGAATCCTTAACCTGTAAATAGCTTGTCAATAAAGCTAGAGATCCTTAACCTTGTCAAACCCTGTGTAAAAAAAAAAAGGAGGGAGAGAGAGAGAGGTTTAACCCATAAATGGTCCAAGCAGATCTACGTTCACATGTGTAGTGCTACAAAAGTAGATCTAAGCTTTTTTTTACATATTTTCAAATATAACAAAAAAAAAAGTAGATCAAAGTTTTTTTACACATTTTCAAATGTAGAAAAACAAAAAGAAGATCTACTTTTTTTACATACTTTCAAATGTTGAAAAAACGTATATATACGTTTGGACCATTTATGGGTTAACCTTGTCAAACCCTGTGTAAAAGAGAGAGAGAGAGAGAGAGAGAGAGAGAGAGAGAGAGAGAGAGAGAGAGAGAGAGAGAGAGAGAGAGGAGAGAGAGAGAGAAAGAGAGAAGAGAGAGAGGAGAGATAGAGAGATAGAGAGATAGAGAGATAGAGAGATAGAGAGATAGAGAGAGAGAGAGATAGAGAGAGAGAGAGATAGAGAGATAGAGAGATAGAGAGATAGAGAGATAGAGAGAGATAGAGAGATAGAGAGATAGAGATAGAGAGATAGAGAGATAGAGAGATAGAGAGATAGAGAGATAGAGATAGAGAGATAGAGAGATAGAGAGATAGAGAGATAGAGATAGAGAGATAGAGAGATAGAGAGAGAGAGAGAGATAGAGAGATAGAGAGATAGAGAGATAGAGAGATAGAGAGAGAGAGAGAGAGAGAGAGAGAGAGAGAGAGAGAGAGAGAGAGAGAGAGAGAGAGAGAGGAGAGAGAGATAGAGAGATAGAGATAGAGAGATAGAGATAGAGAGATAGAGAGAGAGAGATAGAGAGAGAGAGATTGAGAGAGAGAGATTGAGAGAGAGAGATTGAGAGAGAGAGATTGAGAGAGAGAGATTGAGAGAGAGAGATTGAGAGAGAGAGATTGAGAGAGAGAGAGAGAGAGAGGAGAGAGAGGAGAGAGAGAGAGAGAGAGAGGAGAGAGAGAGAGAGGAGAGAGAGAGGAGAGAGAGAGAGAGAGAGAGAGAGAGAGAGAGAGAGAGAGAGAGAGAGAGAGCAGTCATATTACAAAATGTCATCTCAAATGAACAACTAACAGAGATGGTCACGTTAAACAAGACAATTCACAAGTGTCAGTTGCACATTGTTTTAAGGAAAGCTTGTGCTAGCCAGCCTGGTGTGTACTCACCTCTTGTAAGGCATGGAAGTCACTGGTGAAAGACTGTGTGTGGTGGGTAGTGTTGGGCTGGTCCTTGAGCTGGCCATATTTGCGGCTTGCCAGGCGTTTCCGTTTCTCCTGCCATCGCTGCCGCTGATTGGCTTCAGAAGAGTCATCTAATCCGAAGAACTCCCGAGTTTCTTTCTTCACGTACCTGAGTGGCAAGACAAAATATTCTTGAAATGTAAATCATTAATTACCCTATTAACCACAAATGCTCCCAAGTAAAATCAGTTTAATGACAGGACTCACTGAGAAGCTGAATTTTTTTTTACAACACTGACAGTCTCTTGCCAAAATAAGATAACCCAAACAAGGAAACACATTCACCATGACTCATTAAGAATAATAATAATCTTTATTTCTACAAGTACCTGTACAACATATACAGGCCCAGCTGACATCAATGACACGCTACAGAAAGCTCCTTATTATACAGGATATTTCCCACAAATTAAGTCAGTTTTCTCCTCAAGATACAACCCACACCAGTTGGCTGACATCCAGGTACCTATGTACTGCTAGGTAAACAGGGACAGCAGGTGTCTTATAGAAACACATCCTAATGTTTCTACCCGTACCAGGGACTGGACCACAGACCTCAACGTGTGAACTGAGTGTACTAGCAATCAAACTATGGGATACCTTCAGTAACTATTTTTGCCAGCAGTGTGAGGACATCCCAAGTTAAATGATCCTTGCATTAATTATGGTGTTGCAACATTATCAGAGACTGACCTAGGGTAAACATCCTGTCAGTCTGTGTAACTCTACTACACTATTCAACACTCACAACACACTCCATCAAAGTAGAGCAACTCAGAGAATGAAACACATTTACCATCATTCACTCAACAGCTGCCATGCCAAAAGCATATGGACATCACAATTCAAACGATTCTTAAAATTGTTTTGTGACCCACTGAATGACCTGGTTAACCCTTAAACTGTCCAAACAAATTTACATTCACATGCATAGATCTATGTTTTTTGGCATATTTTCAAATATAACAAAAAAAAAAGTAGATCAAAGTTCTTTTACACGTTTTCAAATGTAAAAAAAAAGAAAAGATTTACTTTTTTCACATACTTTCAAATGTTGAAAAAACATAGATCTACGTTTGGTCAGTTTAAGGGTTAATATCTGCTCGGATGCCACTCACACAGATTCTAACACTGGCTGCAAACTATGATATACAGAGCTATGATTTATGTCCATCTCGGGTATGAGAATGAGAGAGAGGGAACAAAAAGGCACAATACCATGACTGGAACAATACACAAATGACACGCACAGAATGTCATCATAAACTTCTCTCTCTTCTCTGTGCAGGTTATTTGTGTATGAGAGAAAGAGTTGTGCAAGTACTGTGCCTAGACACTTCATGCACATTAAAGACCCCAGAATATAGAACAACATATCACAAAAACCTAAAAGTTCTTCACCTGACTATGGCTTCAAAAATATTTAAAAAAAAACTTGATGGAAAATTTTATACACAACTGTCCTAAATATTTGTGTCCAGTAGCTCTTTACTAGTAGCTTATTTCCATTTTTATCATTATTTAACTTTACAATATAATAATTATTCCATTTAAGTCCTTATCTACATACCTGCACTAGTATTTAGTTAAAAGTCTTAGTTTCAGTCTGCACAAAATGATTTGTCTAACTCGATGTGTAATTCAAAACCTTCATTTTTTGGGAAATAAAATTGATTGAGGAACAGAGCTTTTCACTGTAGTGGCCTCTAATTTTACACTGTTGACTATTAATCTTTGAATACAATACACAAATTAAACATCCATCTTCCATTTTCAGGTACATTTTTCTTTTGTATGCATTTGTATGCTATTACACCATGATCACACTTGTCAAAGAACTCTGCAAAGTCTGTGTGTATGTTGCATATGTATTTTTTTTGCTTTCCAGTGTATCTAAAACCATGCTCTGGCAACTGCAAGAGGCAGGAGTGACCTGCTCTAAATCCAGGTTACTATGGGTTGTGTAACTGCTTTAATTCCATATTTTATTGATCTTGCTTCTTAAAACTTCTTCAAAGCTTTTGACAATGTGGAATATAAACACTTTTGGGCTAGAGATATTTTAAATTGCTCTATCACCACCTCTGTGGCATGGGCAAAATCCATGGTCCTTAACCCTTTCAGGGTTTCCAACGTACTAGTATGGCTTATGCACCAGGGTTATTGACGTACTAATACGCCTAAATTCTAGTGTCTTCAAATCTAGCAAGAGAAAGTTGGTAGGCCTACATATGAAAGAATGGGTCTGTGTGGTCAGTGTGCGCAGTATAAAAAAAATCCTGCAGCACACAGTGCGTAATGAGAAAAAAAAGCTTTGACCGTGTTTTTGGTTTAAAGCAGCGACTTTATACTGTATTTTCGTATGGTATTTATGGTTGTATTCTAGTTTTCCTGGTCTCATTTTATAGAACTGTAGACACATTACAGAAATTGAGATGATTTTGATTAGTTTCACAATGAAAAGTACCTTGATTTTTTATTTTTGATGTTTGATTTTTGCCAAAGTTCAAAAGTAAACAAATCATGCCCCGCATCCAATACACGTCAACTGGTGAGTCTAATATTCTTTCACAGGTGCTCTGACATTATTTATACACTAATGCAGTAGTCTGCCTAACAGTAAATCTTCTATTTTTTGTGAGAATACAAATTCAAAGTGGAAAGCAAAAGAAATGTAAGAGGGACCTGGGGACATGACTAATGAACAGAGGAAATGTTATTTTAGTACCAGGAATGTCTGTCTTGTTTATTCTGGATCATATTTGGAAATTGGCATCTTTTAAAATTTGTGTGAAATTGGCAAAATTGCTAATTTCTGACCACTTTATTGGATAGTTGAAGTCAGTAAATTGGTGGTTTCTTGTACTCATTTGTTAGAAAAAATGGAGTTCTAGCGAAATAGTTATGATTTTTGTTGACTAGTACACTGGAATTGGCTGAAAATAGGGCTCAAAGTGGGCGAAATCGCTGATGCGTAAACATCGTCGAGACCGCTAACTTTGCGAGAGCATAATTCCGTAAGTTTTCCATAAAATTTCATACTTTTGGTGTCATCGTGATCAGGAAAAGATTCTCTATCTTTTCATATGAAAAAATAATTTTTGTTTTCCGAAAAATTTTCGACCCTGAGAACAAGTTTAGGAAAGGGCCTCTCGACACTGAAAGGGTTAATGACTGTAGGGTGATGCCTGTGTCCAGAATCTATCTCCATATGATATTTAATACATAGTAATAAGTGTTATTTTTAAACTAATTTTTCAGCAGGAGGACATGTAGTGCAGTTGTCAAACAAGAACACAATTATATAGCCTTCAGGTAGTCTAAATGTTTTGCACTGGACCATGGTCTTTGGCACAAAATAGGTCACAAGTTAGTCATTAACCGTTAAACGGTCCAAACGTATATATACGTTCACGCGCGTAGCACCCCAAACGTATATATACGTTTTCTTTGTCATTCATTCAACATTGCCACAATAAGCCTGAGTCACCTAGACATGAGAGAATGGGTGTGTGCACTCACTGTGTTCCATATTAAAATAATTGGGGATGCCTGGGTACCATATGCTCTTTTTTCCTTTTAAAAGACGAGATTTCTTTTTTCCTCAAAAAATTTGGGGCGCTACGCGAGTGAACGTATATATACGTTTGGACCGTTTAAGGGTTAATAACATGTTGTCTAATCGAGTAATGAACTAGGTACTGGAGCAATGGATAACCCTGAGGATGAAAACTTTTTTTTTTTTTTTGCAAAACTTTACTAAGTAATTTACACTTACGTGTTGCAGTAACACTAACACATGTTAATACAAGTGCACGTTGTTAGATTTTTTTATGTTCTTTCACCACAGGTACAGATGTCTCACCTTCACAACTAACGATACAATTCTCTGACAAGCACATAACACATCTCATGTGGTGCTAACTCAGGTTCTGAGAACAAACCAATAAAATCATTCTGATATTTCTGAGCAGCCAGAGTATGTGCAATCAACATCCTTTGGGTATTTCACATTGAGAAATACAGTGTCATAGTTGGAACTTGTTAAGCCAGCCATAACCTTATGTTCACTCTATTTTTAATTGCTTGTGAAATTCTTTTGTCTTAGCCATTAACACAATGCAAAAGCAGCACATTTTCACTGAAATGATAGAAAAAAATTGATACATAACCTCACTAACAGTTCAGCTAGCAAGCAGATATTTTTCATTTTTCAAGTTCTTTGTTATCCTCATGAGCTCAATAAATTAAAAAAATAAATACAACTTTTCTGTTTTAAACCATACACTGTTGATTTTCCAACACAAACAGTGGTAGCTCATCCATAGGAGCTGCAGAGCTGCAGTCCCCCCAGATGCTCACTGCCAGAAGTATGATTTCACCAACCTTACACTAAAATAATTTGCAACTGACAAAAATATATTACAGGAAAAATCTGTTGTATGTTGTTTTCAATGTATTTATAAGCGATTTTTTTGTTGTTGTTGAAACGAGATAAAAATGATTAAAAATAGAAGTTTAATGTGGTATGATAGTATAGGTATTACTGGCACTACGAGCCGCCACTGAACTGCAGGATGTCCATGCAGTAACATGTGTTAGTATTTGATTTTTGACAATTTTACTGAGAACAGGTAAGGCCCCCTATGCCCCTGGTCTGTTTTATGGAATTTTAACCCTTTCAGTGGCTGTCACACAGAACTACACCATTGAGGCCAGGGGACCCTCCTGTAGTTCTGTGTCCTGAGCTCAGCTCACCTAGATAAGCTGTGAGTGGGAAATTTTGGCCTAGATATAAGAGAATGGGTCTGTGTGGTGACTGAGCACAGTATAAAAAATCCTGCCCCATGCAGTGAATGACAGGAAGAGCAAAATTCCAAACTCCAACCATGTGGATAATTTAAAATAGTGACTGAGTTTGTTTGTTTTTTGGGTGGCTTTTATGGTTTTATTGGTTGTTATTTGATATCATTTGGTAGAACAGAAGACATACTACTCAAATAGAGATTGTTTTGGTTGGTTTCAGGACAGGAAGTAACTTGAAACTGAGCTCAGTATAGCAGAAACATTTAATTTTTGCCAATTTTCTTGATGAGTAAGGGCGCCCAA